AGTGAAAGGGTATTGGTGCGGATGGGAAGCGAGGTACGAGGGCTGAGAAGCTCACCTCGTTCGACACGACGTCCAGCTTCTTCTGGTCCTCTCCCTGAACGTTCTGCGCACCCTGCACGCCAGTGAGGTTGGAGATACCGGCGCGAGTGACAAGGCTGGCAATCTGCTTGCAGGCGAGGGAGATGGAAGACAGCACAATGGTCATCTCGTTGTCGATCACTCCAGCCTGCTCCTGCAGCAGCAGCCAGTTGGTGAATGCCTGGATGGCATACTGGTTGCTAGCCTTAGGAGCGGCCTTGGCCTCCACAGCCGCTGCAGCGGACGCCTTGGCGTTAGCTCCAGCGATGATCTGGTTGCGGCGCGCCTGCTTGCTCTTGGAGAAAGTGGGAGCGACGACCTTGATTCCAGTCAGTGAGGCGGACGAGGAGAGCGCCTTAGGCTGGCTCGAGCACAGCGAGGAGGTCAGGGCCGCAGGGGCCGCGGCCTGAGCAAGAGCGGTAGCAGCCATCGTGGATAGGCCTGAGAGAGTGATGACTAACTGGCACCGTCTTAGGCCAGTACTCTGCGGTCTATCGGAGCTGTTTGTCGAGAGACTAAAGCTCTCAGGCCGAGGAACAGGAATGCGAGGTGCAGCGAACAAGGAGCAAAACAGATGTTTATCTAAACTGGATAGGGAGAGGGATGCTTTGCGGAGGACACGGGCAAAGCGCATGAGCGATGGGAGGCCGAGAAGCCAGAGGCGGAGTCGCAACGAGGTGACTCCTAGGTGCGCGGAGCGCTAGTTTCCAAGTAATTGCGGGTACCTCCATAATGGACGTGCCTATGCCATCCGGAGAACCCTGCCAGCATCAAAGGCTGTGTGAGGCTGGGCGAGGAGGGATAACTGGCTGTGCCACGTGTGAGGTGGTGGTGGAATGGTTTGTCCCGCGACGAGGAGAAGGAAGCGGAAGGAAGGAGGCGGGAACCGCAGCGGGAATGAGAGCGGACAGCGAAAGTGGTGGGGCGGGCGGAAGTGGTGAAAGCCGCGTGTAATGGGGTGTCGAAGGATTCCATGTAGGCAAAGATATTGCCACGTGGCATCTTTCTAGGGTGATGTGGAAGCCAACATCTCTTTTGCTGCGTCAACACTTGAGGCCGAAAAATAGCGGGCAGATGGGCTGAGTCCTTTGTGAGGGAAATTCGCACAAGCATAGCATACGGTGGTTGAGGGATGCCCTTCGTGAGGTCCACGAGGGTCAGACTGATGAACCAAAAGCTTTCGGGTGGATTGACCGAACATCATCTACTCCAGAATCGAGGCTATCCTTGCCATGTCAGTGCCACACACACAAGCACAAAAGCTTCACCACCATCACCAAAGGAAAATATCGTCTATAGACATCATCGGATGGGACACAGAATAGTAGACAGTAGGCACACTTGAATCAGCCTTTAGGAACTAGTAATACTTGTTTCAAATCACTTGTGATAGATACATTGTGATATTTTTCCATCTTCCAGACATTATTGCTCATTATATGCTTAGTAAAGACATGATTTACTTTTTTTCTCCATATTTGGCAATTACCACTCTATTTTGCGACTTAACAGTAAAATTTGTCAACCAGGTTGAATTTTTATATATCCAATGAGACAAAAATTAGAATATCAGCCAATAATCAACAAAGTATAATCATGGACAGCCACTAAGGTATGTCAAACATACTGCGTTGGTTTTTGCACAGAATTACTAACTCCTGTATCATACCAGAATATCCATACGTGGGCATTATGAACTTGTAAGCCCAAGTTGATGATAGGGCGTACTGTCGAAACTTCCTCAAAGTGAAGTCTTCCCAGCTTGGGCTCGTTGCCTTCGTGGCGCTTAAAGATAAGTCAGTCCCAAGAAAACCGAAGGAGAGCCACGTGGCTGCACGCTCAAGTGCCGCTTCCAGATTGCTGTGGATGTTCTCCAGCTGGAGAGGCATCCATCCTCCCTCCCAATTTTCCACCACCGCGCGCCAGGTTCAGGATGTGCCCTCCCAACTCCAGTGCCCTGCACTGCCCTGCCATCCCAGGGGTGAGGTGAGGTGACGACGAGTCCTAGGGGAAATCCTTAGCCCCTAGGAATTTGCGCGAATCGCGTGACTCGGCAATCCCCAGCCAATCCGTGCTGGCTGCGGATTCTCCCCCATCTTCCAGCCATCCCCCCTTGCGCCCGTACACCTCCATTGCCTTGATCACTCGAATTGGAGGAGCAGCGGGGAGGGGATGCGGAATGGGGGAAAGGGGAAGCGGGAGAACGTCCCCCCTTCCCCGTCACCCCCTTCACATTCTAAAAAACCTTCGAAGATTTCACTTGCCTCCAACTTAGCCAGAATTTTGTGTCGCCGAATCTTTGGATTCACGGCGAGCAGCAGCGGCTTCTACCTGGTTTGAAATTTTGTTCTGCGCTGCGGAGTCACAATCATGGCTGCCGTTAGCTCCACAATGTCACGCATTGCCGTGACGGACGGCCTCGTCCGCACCGCCTCCGTGTCCAGCACCACTCAGGCGAACTCCCTCCGCTCCTTCGTCTGCACCAAGCCTGCTTCCGGTTCCCGCCGATCACTGGCAATCAGGGCTGCCGCTGAGGTTCAGAGCGCGTCTGCTGATTCCGATAGCATCTCCGCTGAGGTCGCGGCTCTGCCTGAAGCTGGCGACACCGCCGGCGTTCAGCCGAAGAAGAGGGTCTCCCCTCTCGAGAAGGGAGGTACTCTTAGTGGCAAGGAGGCTGCAGGCAAGGATCCCAGCCTTGCGACACTGGGCAAGCTGAGCGCGGCTATGACCGGGGAGAAGTTCTCTGACCCACGGTGGAAGAACGGCACGTGGGACATTTCGCAGTTCACCGTTGACGGCAAGGTCGACTGGGACGCCGTCATTGATGCCGGTAAGCACGTTGTTCCTGCTCGTGTCGTCTCGTGGTGCGGTTTCATCCCAGTTTCTAGTTTATTTAGATGGTTCCATTGTTGTCTGAAGCTCCGTTTTTTTATCCGTCTCGATATTCTCTATCCACTCCATCATGGAGTTTATAAGTTATAACGGGTTCCATCCGGCGTATGTATAGCTACGATTCCTCACATCCACATTTTGTGCTTCGTCCACTCTATTTTGTTTGTATTTATTCCATCCTTGTGTCTACCGTCTACTCAATTGCTGTCGCTCCCAGCAGCATTGGTATTGCTTTCTGTACGTAGCACAATGGTATAGCGTCTTTTAGGGTGACATCGAAACCCGAACTTTACTATCATTGCTCTTGTCAATTTTTTGCAAAGCGTGTTCCTCTCAACCGCCTAATCTCGTTGTATTGTCTTGCCTCTTTGTAGAGGTCTCGAGGAGGCAGTGGCTCGAGATTAACCCCCAGTCCTCGAACAATGACGATCCCGTGGTCTTCGACACCTCGCAAGTCCCCTGGTGGGCGTGGGTCCGCCGCTTCCATCTCCCCGAGGCGGAGAAGCTCAATGGTAAGCAGACGATCACAGTTTGCTTGATGTTTTTTAAAAATTATTGCAGAAGTCCCGTAGCACACCCTAAACTCATCTGGCTAACCCCTGGTCAACGAACACCAGTAGTTCTGCTTTGTACGATGTACGTATTTTGCTCAGCATGATTCGTCACGTTCCTCGTTCGTGATATTTGTGTTCGCACCCTCGTGAATTGATGATGGTCCGCGGCCTATGTCATTAGCTTCTGTGCTCTCATGCCATTTCGTTCTTTCTCTCCCGCGTATATTCCTATCTCACAGGCCGTGCTGCCATGGTTGGGTACTTCATGGGCTATCTCGTTGACTCCGCGACTGGTGCTGGCCTGGTGGATCAGACTTCTGGTTTCCTTGGCAAGCTGCTGCTCTTCATCACTGTCGTTGGCGTCCTGTTGATCCGCAAGAACGAGGATGTTCAGGAGATTAAGAACGCTGCAGAGGAATGGACCTTCTACGACAAGCAATGGCAAGCAGCGTGGAAGGAAGGACCACCTCCTGCAAACAAGGAGACGGAGGAGTAGACTGACCGTCTGCTGCTACGCTCTTGGTGCCTGAATCTGCTGAGGAATCAATGCTGTGTCGAAGGACACCAAATTTTGGCGGTGCCATGATTTCTTGCAGTGTCAGGTGATTTATTTTTTACTTCGCAAGTTGGATATTGTTAACTAAGTGTTTCTATAAAGTCACGTTGTAGCACCCGACAAGTGAACAAGCCTATCTCAAGCTTAGACACTGTTATCTGATCAATTGCTCCTTTGGACCATGACAAAGCCAATGTTTTAGAACCTAAATGCCTGCAGTTAAAACCGGAGGGCCAACAAGGCCCAAATTGGTTCAACCTTCCTAACCTCGGTTGGGTTTGGCTCTCGCACCCCAAGCCTTGACCAATTGTATTGCCCAAACCAAGCTTCCTAAGGTTTCTTGGCCCGCGGGTCAAAGGCTCATCGATCTGTGTCTTTTAATATCCTGGACAGGCTGAAAACTTAGCAGTTAATGCCCGTTGGGCACATCAACCACTTGTGTTGAACCATGCTGAAACAGGGATAAATTCTATATGGCCCTAAGGTACAGCTCCTGCTGAAATGGTTCCATATCATGTGCTGTTTTGTCATTAGGTAGGTGATGGTAATTGTTTATTGCAACAGTGACAGTTGTAACCCCTTCTTTCACTGTTTCACCGACTGCAGTGGTGAAGAGATTAGATTTGTAAAATTGTGATCACAAGGCATTGTGTAGTTTACATACAGTAAGCATGAGGTACACAGAATTTGCCCTAGAAGTCTTCATCCGTGCTAAACACCCGTTGTGCTGCCCCATTCCCATTCAAGTTAGCCATCACAGACGCCTTCTGATACTCCCCCACACGCTTTTCGAAGAAGTTTGTTTTACCTCTGCAAAAGGAATCAGGATGAAGGGAACAGGGTCAGAAAGTGAAGAGCTAAGGTCTGATGTTGCAATGCAAACCCTCACTGCAAGTTCACTTGAATAAGGACACAGAAACTCACTGTAGCGAAATGAGCTCCATCCAATCAAAAGGGTTCTGTACATTGTAGTGCTTCTTGCACCCCAGCGCCACCTGCACCAAACAATTCAACCACCAAGGTGCAATCAATCATACACTCACCACATACTGTAATGTTGAAACGACTGAGAATTGAACCTTACCAGTAGACGATCAGCAACGAACTCAATGTACTGGCACATAAGCCCTGAGTTCATGCCCACTAGATCCACCGGCAGAGAATCACGAATAAATTCCTCCTCAATCTCGACTGATTCACAGAGAATCTCCTTCACACGTTCCTCACTTAGCTTGTTATGAAGCAGCCTGACGACAGCACACAGAGGGACGGGAAAACAGCAGTGTTAAGTAAGACACACAATCATAATGCAGAAAAAGAAACTCCCACTCCTTGATCCTAAACCCCTGAACCCCGTGTCGGTCAGCACTCGTCAGATGTACTTACGAATAAAGCAGGCAGCCAAAATCAGTGTGGAGTCCCTCGTCACGTGAGATGAGCTCGTTGGAGAACGTCAGCCCTGGCATAAGCCCTCGCTTCTTAAGCCAGAAGATAGCACAGAAGCTGTATAAGCAAGGAGCAGTAATGGCACGGCAGAGAAGAGAATAGTAGGTTAAGCAACGAAGAACTACATTACCACAGAAAGGAAGACACTAATAGAATGTGGGAAACGGATGCAGATGGAAGGGAGGGAAGAGGGGGAGAGGGAGAGGGGGGAGGAGGTGGGAGGGGAGGGGGGATAAGGGAGGGGAAGGAAACGGCAGCACAAACCTTCCAGAAAAAAATATCCCTTCGACACAAGCAAATGCCACCAGGCGCTCGGCGAACGTAGTGGAACTGCAAGCACGAATGGTCCCACGAAGATGGACGAGAAGAATTAGAAAGGCATACAGCTACACTAATAACCGGGAGTGCGTATGGAGTGGCTGAAAACTGAGAGCAAAAAAGATGGCAGGTCGGAATTACCTCTGCGAGCCTTCAATATACCGCATGGTCCAGTCAGCCTTCTTCTTCACACATGGAACAGTCTCGACTGCTCTAAAAAGGCGGTCTTTTTCCGCGGGATCCTTTATGTATGTTTCCAACAGCAAGCTGTACATCTCTGAGTGAATGTTCTCAATGGCTATCTGAAATCCGTAGAACGCCCTTGCCTGCTCAGCATCGTACCACAGGTAGGAACGCACCAATAGCAACAAGTCAGCTGGAAAACTAGTGTAGAATGATTTTCCGGAATTTTCGAAAAGTACTCATAGCCTTACTTCAGGAATTTGAATCTCTTTCATGAATCGCACAGCGAGATTTTCGAGAACGATGCCGTCAGAGGCTGCGAAGAAAGCGAGCACTTGCAGGATGAAGAACCGTTCGTCGTCGCTCAGGGATTCGAAATGCTGCACGTCTTGTGAAAGATCGACTTCCTCGGCTGAAGGGTACGAATCGGCCACAAAACGAGCAAGAGGGCATAAGCAGGTTACAGAAACAGGCGGGCGGACGTGGGAAATCCAGAACTAAAGGATTAAGCGGGACAACGAGAAATTGTTCGTTCAAGAAAAACAAGACCTACCAGTCCAGAAGCTAGCTTCCGCTTTCTTATAGAACTCCCAGACGTCGTCGTATTTGATTGGAAACATGCAAAAACGTTGGTTGTTCGGCTTCAGAATAGGCTCCTCTAGCTGAGATAGATCCGCCATGATCGCGATACGAGTATATATGTCTAACGCCGACGTGTGCTCGGTGCGATATACAAGAACGGCTTGGTTTGCGAGACGAAACGAGCCACCTGAATCTCCAGTCAGGCAGAAAGATCCTCGACGTGAACTAAATCAGGGTGTCTTAGGGCAAAGCTGGCGAAGCTAACGAAGTGTCAACAGAATGACTGGAGTCGGAGCTTTAAAACGCAGGCGGTCCGCGAGCGACAGACACAGAGCAACACACACCTTGCCTAGAAATCTGCTGCTGAAGATCACACGCAAAGGAACTGACGAGATCACCACTAGTCTTTCGCACCTCTGAAGCTTGGAGACTTCCGCATGGGGAGTATCCATGCTCTGAAGTTGCACATCGGCGAGACTATAACGGGCGCATGGTCGAAGTCAGGAGCAAGAATTGCGCGCGAGACGCTGTGATTGGTCCAATTCTGGTGCGCAGTACGTGTTCTTCTAGTAGCGTGGCCACACCCTGCGTGTATATGTTCTGGGACTTCCACGCGTACACTCTGAACAGTGAGTGCTTGACAACGAATTTCACTTTGAATTGGGAATTTCAAATATAGAAGTTATGGAAAACATGAAAAGTTGGGAGGGGAGTGTGAACAAGTGTGGTTGCAAATGAACGAGAGAAAAATGCACCGAGTCCAACGAATACAAATGTGAGCAAACATTTATAGCGAAAACAACAAATGGTAACGCAGTGCGTGCGAGCAAGCTGGTGTAATGGTGGCAGCGAGGTTCGTGTCAAATAACATTCATATGTTTTGTTAGTTTGTTAGGCTACAGTGAGTTGCATAGTATAAAGTACATAATTTCCCTCGACAATCCTACTTGTACCTTCTTGCCCTACTATTCGATCATCCAATTCCGCTAGCCTACTCTTGAGATGGTATCACGTGCTAAGTTCCTAGGCCTGGTTAGTTCATAAATCGCCCTAGTTCTTAGTTTCGCTCCCCTCCAGCCCTCACGTCCCTCCTAGTCCTCCAGTCCGCACGCGCTAGCCAGCTAGGGCGTGCGACCGTGCGTTTGTTAGCAGCAGGCGAATACGCGACTGCAGCCACTCACGCATGCATAGGCAGCGCGCGAGCAGCGGCAGTCGAGCGCACACGCACAGCCGCACGCGTGCACCTGCCTGCAGGCCGCACGCGCACAGGCCACAAGCGCACGCCCAGCCGCTGCGCACACGCACAGCAGCTGCGCACGCACGCACGGCAGTAAGCGCGCCTGCGACCAGCGCATACGCAGCAGCAGTGCTAGCGCCCGCAGCCGTCAGCAGCAGCCGCATTGCTAGCACCTGCAGCCGCCAACAGCAGCAGCAGCAGTGCTAGCGGCCAGCGGCATGCCTCAGCAGCCACGAACCTGCAGCGTTGTGCACGCCACGCTCCGCCTGCTGCCTACGCAGCAGCGCACGGTTGCATTACACACACGGGCCACTCTAGCTGGAACTTACTGCCAGCAACAGACACCAACCGCCCACACCTCATTCCAGCTGCCCACAGCCTCTTCCTGCTGCCCACAACCTCTTCCTGCCGCCCACATCCTCTCCCAGCCGCCCACCACCGCCCACTTCCGTCTATTGTTTTGCCTACTACCGCCCATAGCTGCCTCCAGTACCACCAGTGCCCATTGCCTCGTGCACGCCTCCTGCCTTAGGCATCCCTAACGGCGGCGGGCAGCCGCAATCACTTTCTCATGGCGTAGTTTCGGTTTTGTGTCCCGACTGACGTTCCTAGCCCGCCTTGCCAAGTCGACTGTTCCTAGGCTCGTGTCTAATTGTCGGTAGGTCCTAGTATCGCTCTAGCTGTTCCTAGCTCCAGCCGTGCCTTGCTCCAGCCGCTCCTAACTCCAGCCACTCCTGCTCCAGCCGTGTCTAGCTCCAGCCGTGTCTAGCTCCAACCGTGTCTAGCTCCAGCCGTGCCTTGCTCCAGCCGTGCCTTGCTCCAGCCGTGCCTAGCTCCAGCCGTGTCTCGCTCCAGCCGTGCCTCGCTCCAGCAGTGCCTTGCTCAAGCCGTGCCTTGCTCCAGCCGTGCCTTGCTCCAGCCGTGCCTTGCCCTAGTCGTGTCTTGCTCCATCCGTGCCCTGCTCCTCGCTCCGGCCACTCCTAGCTCCAGCCGTGCCGCTCCAGCCGTGCTTTGCTCCAGGCGTTCCTCGCTCCAGACGCTTCTAGCTCCAGCTGCTCCTAGCGCCAGTGGTTCCTAGCCTGGCGATTTCTCGTTCTGGCAGTGTCTCGCTCCATCTACTCCTAGCCTGCCGCTCCTACACCCAGCTAGCCTTCACTATGGCGTCCATTAGGGTTCTCCAGGGACAGGGACAGCAGCAGCGACAGTTTCAGCAGTGGGAGCCTCAGCAGCAGTGGCGCCCTCAGCAGTGGGAGCCTCAGCAGCAGTGGCGCCCTCAGCAGCGGTGGCACCCTCAGCAGCAGTGGGGGCCCGATGGTTCGGGTAGCGTTGGCTGCAGCAGCGGCCCAGCCAGCTGGGGGTTTCGTCGCGGTGGCCGCGACGTCGGCCCCTGCCAGTACCGGATCCTGACCGGCCCTGGTGCTGGCACTACCTGCTGGCGTCCTGACCACTCTGCGCAGCGCTGCTACAGTCGCCTCGACGACCTCTACCGTGAGCGTTTTGGGCCTGAGCCGGCTCCCCCGATCTGGCCCGGTCTGTTTCGTAGTGGTTACCCTGTGTTTGATATGTCTATGGATGCTGTTTATTCTATCACGTATGGATATCTTGGCTTGCGTGTACCTAGCTTAGAACATTTGCCTGTCACGAGTGTAGGTACTTGTACTTTTAGTGTAGGTGCTTGTGTCGTGACGTGACGTGACGACACGTCGTGCTTTTAGAACTAGCTCAGTCGTGACGACTGCTGTTGCGTCGCTCTCCTCCACGCTAGACTCCGGCGCATCTCAGTGCTTCTTCCATGACCACACTACTGTCACACCTCTTTCGGCTCCAGTCTCAGTTGCCCTGGCTGATCCTACTTCAGGACCAGCAGTTGCTCGCAGCTCGACCACTCTCCCGTACCCAGCTGTCCCCTCGGGTTTCCTCACTGGTCTCTACATCCCCTCGTTCACTCGGAACTTGGTGGGTGTTGGATACCTTCAGGACCGGGGGATCACAGTCTTGTCTCAGGTCTCCCGCGCGTCTTTCCGTCGCTCCCTCCCTCGCTTGCTCCCCTTTTCACTCCTTGCGTCGCCGGCCGTCTGCGCGCCACTCCGCACTCATCCTCCCTTCGTTCGGCCACTGCTCCCTTCCAGACTCTCCACTTGGACGTCTGGGGTCCTGCCCCTACGCAGGGACCTGGGAGGGAGCGCTACTTTCGAACGCTACGACGACTTCTCTAGGTACACCACAGTGTTTCCTCTCGCGAAGAAGTCCGAGGTAACTTCTACGCTTATCCAGTGGCTTTTGGCCACTGAGGGCACTCGTGGTAGTCGTGTCAGTTGTCTCCACTCCGACCATGGGGGTGAGTTTCGCTCTGGCATTCTTGCCGGGTTCTGTGGCGAGCAGGGCATCACACAGTCTTGGACGCTTCCGGAGTCCCCACAGCAGAATGGGGTTGCTGAGCGCCGCATTGGCTTGGTCATGGACATCGCCCGCACGTCCATGATCCATGCCAGTGCGCCCCATATTCTGTGGCCCTACGCGGTGCGCTACGCCGCCCACCAGCTGAACCTCCAGCCGGGTGTCTCGCGGCCAGAGGCTTCACCGACCAGTCTTTGGACCGGGTCCCCTGGTGTTTGTTCGGTCTTTCGTGTCTGGGGCTGCCTTGCGCTGGTCCGCGACACTTCTGCGGACAAGCTCTCGGCTCGCGCCATCCCCTGTGTCTTCCTTGGTTTCCAGTAGGCTCTCCCGACTACTCCTTTTACCACCCCCCCCTCCACCCATTCCTCGACTCTCGTGACGTCCGGTTTGACGAGTCAGTGTCCTACTACACCCGGTACCCCTGTTGAGGTCTCCCGGTTCCCCCTCTCCCCCTCTTCCTCGCACCCTCTCCTCCCCCTGCTCCCGCTCCTTAGGTACCCCCGCCCCCCCCCCGGTCCTGCCCCATCAGGTGTGTCTCACGCTACCCCTCTCCCCTCAGTCGCGCGTCAGGTAGCGTCTCCCTCCCCGCAGTTCTCCTCACAGTCCCCCCAGCAGCCTTCGGCACTTCCACGACAGGTTATTGTGGACTCAGGTGGTGCTGGAGCTGGAGGTGCTGCCACTGGAGGTGCTCGGACTGAGGGCGCTCGTTCGAGAGGTGTCGGAGCTGGAGGTGCTGGCACTGGAGGTGCTAGCTCTGGGGGTGTTGGAGCTGGAGGTGCTGGCATTGGAGGTGCTAGCTCTGCGGGTGTTGGAGCTGGAGGTGCTGGCACTGGAGGTGCTAGCTTTGGGGGTGTTGGAGCTGGAGGTGCTGGCCCTGGAGGTGCTAGTTCTTGAGGTACTGGAGCTGGAGGTGCTAGTCCAGGGGACGGTGGAGCTGGGGGTGCCGACACTGGAGGTAGTGGTACTGAGGAGACGGGAGCTGGCGGATCGCCCCCTCCCCGCTACTACACACATCTCCATGCTCTTTGCCGTCTTGAGCGCGAGGAGCAGGACCGTTTGGAGCAGGAGAGGCAGCAGCTGCGACAGTTGGACCTGCAGGAGCAGCAGCAGCCGCAGCAGCCGTAGCAGCCGCAGCAGCAGCAGCAGAAGCAGCAGCAGCAGCAGCAGCAGCAGCAACAGCGGCAGCAGCGGCAGCAGCAGCAGCCGCAGCAGCAGCAGCAGCAGCAGCAGCAGCAGCCACAGCAGCCCGAGGTCCCACTAGTGAGTGGCCTTCGGGCCCTTGGTCTTCCCTCCCCTCCTCCTGTCCTCCCACAGTCTTTGCCCGCGTACGGTCCTACGTTTCCTCCTCCGAACTCGTCTCGGGCTGTTTTCCCTCCTCCTCAGTCACTGTCACCTCCCCTTGTTGTCCCGCACGACTAGACCGCTCGTTGTCCCCCGCGTGCTCGTCCCTCGTCTCCTCTTGCC